ATTTTTCTGTTTTCTTGAATCACAAAGGTAACTTCTTTTTATCTGTTGCTTATTTGGTTTTTATTAATATCAGTCTAAGTTTATAATGTCTCAAGAGGGACATTTATTATCTTGGAAAATTTGAATTGGCAGAAGAATGTTTTTTTTTTTCTTAGACAGCAGCATTTTTACAATCCAGAGATTTATGTAAAAAAAAAAGTTGGTCAGTTATTATGGGTGAGGCATGACAACTATTTTTTGATCCAGAACTAAAAATGTTTGTCTTTGAGTCTAAATCAAAATTCTAAGTACACTTCTTCCTTCTAAATTCACACATACACTCTTTCTTTTTCTGCCCAACCCTTTTTCTGATCCCCAGTAACTAGGAAAGTGGACCGTGTGAAATGTGACCCTCATTGAGTGACACAGTGAGGCTGAGTCCTTCCCTTGCCTGATCACCAGCAGAGGCTCCCTCGGGGTGTGAGCTGGGGGCTGGGGGCACGGCAGAGTGTGAGCAGACTTGGCCTCCTACAGTCCCTGGGGCTGGCAGCCATGGGCACACACCGCAGGGAGGCTGGGAGACGACGCCTACCTGCACGTGGGAGCTACTGTCTGCAGCCCGCCTCACTACAGACATTATAAGTACTAGGCGGCCCTCAATTGCACTCAGGAAGCCAGAATGCCACATCCTTCCTCCTCGTCACTCCCTCCGCTGCCTCCCCAAAGCACACCGAGAGGGGTGCATTCTCACTCCAAAGCCCTCCTCCAGCTGCGCTGGAGACACATCCCCACTATGCTACCATCAACGACTTGAAGCCTTTGGACAACATACACAAGCACTGCTGACCTTCTGATTCCAGGAAACCCTATACTCCCAACTACAGAAAAAGCAGGCGTGAATTAATTTTTCTAGCTCTCAAGAAGTAGGGTGGGACTCGCGTACACGGGGCTTTAAAGCTTGACTCCAGATGCAGCCTTGCAATGGTTTAGAACTCGATTCCTTTTTCCCATAAGACTGTTAGCTACATAATAAGAATGTAAGTTATTTTTGTAATTTTGCTCGGGATTTAAGAGCAAAGCACACTGGAAATTGGAAGGACTACCATGTATATTCTCAATGTCTAGACTAACACACTGCACAGGATTCACTGAAAACAATTCTAAAGTAGAAGGAATTTTTCTATGGACCTTTCTGTTTGAATGACAACTTTTGTTTTGGAAGGCCTCTGTGTCTATCAAGCAAACAGTTGTGTTTGTGGCCTGAGTGCCGCTGCGTAAACCCCCAGGACGGTTGGAACAGTAATATGGGAATTGTCTCCCTGAAACTACAGAAATGTCAGGGCCATTCTCACGGCAGGCACTAACATACTCTTCAGCACATTAGACAAAGGCAATCTAGGGCACAGGAAAGCCAACCCTCTCTCCTCGGCCTTTGTCAGTAGTTATCACCAAAGGAGTTGTTACTTTCATTGAATCCATTTAAATCATGATATGTGTTTATATATAGAGTAACTCAATTTAATCAGCTTGTTTACATTAAAAAGTACATTTTTATTCTGCTAGATCCCGATTACATGTTCTTCAAAATTTGGGTGAGTATGGATTTTACTTATAAAGACATAACTTGTACGTCTGAAGCAGTGATTTATAGAAATCATCAACTTAAGAGTTCTAGGAGATTCAGTGTCAAAAAAGATTGTAATATTGCCTTTGTACTTTAAAGGCTTTTGCCTCCTTTATCTTTGGCCTCTCTTTGCTTACCTGGAGTACTTCATTCTTAAGAATTATCAATTCATTTCTCTGCTTGAAACTGATGATATGGGAAGAAAGCCAGTGAATGATAGTCTTACAGTTACAGGTTATTCATAAGTATGGTTTCCATAGACAGCATCCTTCCACAGAGAAGAGAAACCATGGTTTCTGGCATGTACAGTAAGACGTTTTCACTTTGACATATGCTGCACCAAAATGGCTTTTATTGGTTCTCATTACTCTCTAATTGGATCATGTGTCCTTCATTCACGTGGCAAACATCTGCAGCCAACATTTTTAGAAGGCCTACTACGTGCCTGGCCTTCGGTTTGGCAGAGACGAGGAGTGGGATGTCACAAAGCTGCCCGTGAAGGAAGGCGCAGAGCTGTCACACAGACATCACACAAGTGATCACACCACGGTGATGACAGCTTGAAGAGCACACCACTGCCAGGAGCCCCATTCGGAGCAAGGGGCTCAAGGAGGATTTCTCCAGTGACAATGCCTTCACAAGACTTACTCATGAAACTTTTTGGGAAGGGTCACACAACTCTGTCACCTTGAGTACCGTATTAATTCCAAGGAAAGATGGGGTATGAGGAAGAGAAGGCCCTGGACCCAGACAGACCTTACTAGAATCCCTGCTACAACTGCAATGCTTGTGCAATTCAGGGAGGAATGTGGTTCCCACAATGATCTGTTATCATGGGTATGAATAAAATACACAAAACATTCAGTATGTGGTAGAAGTTCAATAAGCTATAGGTATTAATTTATCTTTTAATTTTAATTTTATTGATTTATTTATTTTGGTGCCAGGAATCAAACTCAGGACCTCACACTTGCCAAGCAGGCAATGTGCTGCTGAGCTATATCCCTGAGTAGGTGTTACTTTAGAATTGATGCTTAACCATGTTTGAGCTTTCGTGTCAAAATAAAGCTTATTTTCCAGAGTTCTATCTTTACAAAAATGTTGAACTAAAAGCAAAGATTTTAAAGTCCATTTACAAAACAGTGTGAGGTTTGTGACTGGGTAACAGCAACTGGCCAACTGGGTACCACTTCTTCATACAGTGGAGACATCTCCCCTTCTAGATACATCTTGTCAGATCCACAAGCATTGGCAAAAAGAAGACTTGGTGCTTGCACTCAACAGCTTTCCACCAGCATTAAAGACTTCAAATTAGAGCTTTTCAAACAGTGAACTCCTCTAAGGCAGATAAGTGTTTTTCAGGTCATTAGCTGCTTGACTAAGGGGGAGCAGGCAGAGCCCTTTAGAGGCTGCTCAAATTCACTTCGTAGTTCTAGAACGCATTTCCTACCTCTTATGTAGCTTCCCTTATTCAAGACTCCAGGTACCTACAGACACCCACAGAACAGAGCCAGTCTCAACTGCTCGGCCCTTTCCCATGCACTCTTCCCTCCCAGCTGTATCTGGAGGGCTCTGCCTGTCTTCTCTGTGCTGGCTTGGTCGGGCATTCTTCAGAGTGGAGACCAACAGCCTGTGATAGTGAACTGATTGTGTCTCCATGAGTAAGCAACTGGATCCTTTTCACTCTTTCACACCTGACTCTGCAGTGTAAGCCAATCTTATAAATCCTCATATATTTATATATCTTGTATTAAATCTTTCTCTCGTGAGCACTGACTGAATCATAGCCCTGTTTCCATTTTGGTATAAGATCCGAGTCAGAAAGAAAAATATGCGTGGCATCTGTTTCCAAGTTAAAACATGAATAATTTTCTTTGGCCCTAAAAAGGGGGCTATTCTACAGGTGAGAAAACTGAGGCTTGGAGAGGAGAAGTGATTTGTTAAGGTGTTTACTATATGTTAATGATACAACTGAAGCAAGGATTTGACTCCTCCCGCAGGGCCCTACCATGTTCACTGAATCTTCCCATTTGCCTGGCTTTGGGCTGATCCTGGAGACCCAGGTAAACCCCAGATCAGCAAATCAAGGCCAACTGTGTGGCCTAGGGAGACCCAAACATTCACTGAGTGCCACTGCCAGGTAAGCCAGCTGCTCTGTGCCATATTGCCCTGAGGTGGGTGGCTCCCGGCTGCTGTGGTCCTGGTCCACAGGAAGGGGTCACAGTGCCCAGACCTCCTATGAGGATCTCTGCAATCCATGCTAAAATCTAAGTGTGCAAGATTCAAAAAGAGCTCCTGTCGTGTCCCAATTAAAGCCTCTGTGTTTCTCTAAATCTCCCTGCTTTGGATAAGCTGAGAAGTCTGTGACTTATAGTAAATGGGTCATGTTACAAAAGCTAGGGGCTGGTATGGGCTTAAAGGTCAAGGGTTGCTTGCAATTATTCTAGAATAGTATTTCAGAGGGTATATTCCTCAATTTAGCAAAACACACGTTGGTTGCATTCAGAATGACTCTAGTTTAGGGAAAGGAACCTCTCTTGCACTCAAAATGAGAACGAGAAATAACCCAAAGTCACTAACAGTGAAATGGCAGCCCTTGAGGGGCCAGGATGAGGCTGTAACACAGAACTGTTGGAAAATTACACCCAGGCAACATGATTCGGCAGTAAAGAACTTCCTGGGTGGCCACTCAGATCTTTGCAAGCTGAGCCTTTCAGGGGGAACTCCATGCCCGGAAGATGAGACAAAGGGCAGGCAGAGAAGACCCAGCTAATGTTTGTTTGCCACAGAGTGAATGCACAGTTCCTCCACACCCCTCCTCCACAGAGCTTTCTGGATAGCACAGCCCTCATCTGAGCTCCGGAGCCCCTCTGCATCAGTCTACCAAATGGTAATATAATTAGCTGAGCACTTGTCTATCACAACCATTTTTGCCTCAGCAGCACCCAGGAATGACCTGTTTTTACAGTGGCTACAATTCCCAAGTACCAAAGTACAGCCAGGGCAGATGCAAGCACTAACCAGCTGAGAAGGAAAAAGAAAAAACAAGCTGAATGGATTAAAAGGAGACATCCCTTAGCCAGTCTACAGATAGCACGGCTTACTCCTCATTGGCCCGAAGGTTTATCAGTCACAGACATCGTCTTACTCTAGTATTTCTGGGAAAAGGGAGACATAACTTATAGCTAAAACACGTTTGTATAATTACGCAAATTGAAGCGAACTAAGACTTTCCTATTTCACACACCAGGTCCCACTTCCAACTCAACTTGTCTCTTAGAAACCCACAGACTCAACCCTAATCCCAAATTAAAAGCAAACTTCATCCTGGTTTCCAACTGGAAATACTTTCTAATTCACAAAACAAAGGCCTCCAGCACAAAACTTGTCAACTTACTTTTTCCACATCTAGATCAGCATCCTGCCTCTTCAGAAAACTGTAGAAGGAAAAAAAAAATAGTAAGATATCAAAAGAGAATCAGGCACTCTGCTTGAAAACCACCCACAGATCACCACCACAGAATTTCCATTTGTTACAGACAATCAATTTACCCACAAATTTTTTCTTCTTCACACAATGGTTGCTAAGTCACAGTTGCCACAAACACCTGCCTGAAACTGCAAAGAACTGGTCCTGTACCACAAAGGAAGTCAGCATGAGATTTTAACTTTCAGAAGTCAGGAAAGATGAGGACAAAAGCCTTGAGTGTGTTCAGACGTGGAAGCGCACACACACACAAACCCCTCTTCTTCAGATTGTATATAAGTCATCTATTTGAAAGGCACATTAAAAACTGAATCTTCCAAGATATCACTCCACTTTCCCCTTGGCTTCAATGTCCCTCGAGCCCCTAGTCCATATCTGTTCCACTTCCTGTCTTAATGTTGAGCCAGTTTCTTGAACAGCCTCTGTTTCCCATCAGCTAGGACTCCTGGTTTGCCAATCCACAGCCTATGCCAACGTGTCTACAGAACCCTAGCCCCAGGATAACCTTAGAACCTTATGCTCATCCTTGGCAAGGCAGAGTGCTGCTTCAGGTGACATCCGTGCCACTCCACACTAACCTTTAAAGTGCCAGGGGTGAGATGGCAGATTTCTAGTTCATTCATGTACTTGGGTTGCAAACTGCCAATATTATAACACCTCATTTATTATTTGCAATTTTAGTCCACCTGAATACAGTTTCAGTATTAATAAAGACAACAATAAAAATGGTTGAATGGAATTATGTTGACAGGACTTTAGGAAAGAACACATAGGGTTTTTGTTGAGGAACATGAAGTAGAAAAAGACACAAATAACTTATCATTAAACTTTCTCAACATAATTTTGAGAGCTCTTCAACTTTCTCAACATAATTTTCATCATATTTCTTCCTGGTCCATGGTTTAAAACACCCGCAACATAAATTATTATTCCCATCAAGAACATCCTTGCCACACTTGCAAAAGAGAATTTTACACTGTGTGAAAAGATGCACATTTACCACTAATATATTTATTCTGTTTAATCAAAGATGACTCAGAATGAAGGAAATAAAAAAATGGCCATGGGGAAGAGAATTACAAACTCATATACCACTCTCCACAGATGAGCATTCAAATCATGAATTCACCACAGGTGAGCAGGAGACACTCCAAGGAGGCTGAGGAGAGAGTGTACTAACCTGCATGCCCCTGTTGCTGCACCTTAGCAACCCCACTACCCATCACTTCTGGTTCCTGAGAAATGCCAGCCTGCCCAAACTAAGCAGACATCATGACACGCACCTTTTCTTCGGTTAACTTGCTGAGAATCTAGATGTTGTTGTGATAGAGAATATGGGAAAGATCTTTGTCCAAAATTTTAACTTGCCTCCCTATAATTAAAGAAATTTGAAACTATGAGAACTTCTCCCAGTGGGGACACATTTGCAGAAGTCTGATTTGCATTCTTAAACACATTCACAGAGGTTTAGGGAAGTTGTTTTGATTGGAGGGTAATAACAAACTGTATCCTACTGGCAAGGTGAAAGATTCCTTCACTGGCTATGGAAAGAGCTCTTGGAGAACCATTACCCTTTTCCGGTTTTGAAAGGAAATGCAGTACCTCTCTCCTGCACAGGGCACAAGTGCAACAACTTAGGGTGCCCAAGGTCCAACAGACTCTGGAGGAAGGAGGCTGCCCTCTCTAGCACCTTAGCACCTGATACCAACGGGAGCCCCTTTAGAGCCCATGGCACACTGCTGCCCAAAGCGCTATCTATGCATCCAAATATCCAGTACCATCCCATTTCTTTTTTAGGCATACCAAACAGATGGAGTTAGCCAACAAAGACAACACATGCATCATTGTGTAACCATAAACCAAAAGAATGATGTCACAGCTTTTAACTTCAAAGACTCCCAAGCAACATGGCACCATAGCACCAGCTCCACTGTTTCAAAGAGGATAAGGATGGATAAAAAGAGCCACATCAAAATAAAATTCACATAGCAACACATTTAGAGTGAAGAGTGGTATTTGCCTTTAAGACCATGCTTTTCTTCCTTAAATAAAAGCTGTGTCTGCTGGGCACAGTAGCCCATATCTGTAATCTCAGCACTTTGGGAGGCTGAGGCAAAAGGATTACAAATTCAAGCCCAGCCCAGACAACTTAGTGATGTAGTGAGATCCTGCCTCAAAATAAAAAGGCACCAATTGTAAAGGCTTGGGGTTCCATTCCCAGTACTGCAGGGGGTAGGAGGGAGGCTGTGTTTCTGAAAAGCCAAGAATAAGTTAAGTTTTGGTACCACATGCTTAAGTGAAACAGATACTTTTTATTTAAGTGACATTCTTCTTAAAAATCATTTAAAAATTTGAACACTTATCCTAATTTATTTTTATTCTAAACCTGATTTTTTTAAAATCAAATTTTTAGGTGTCATTTCTAAAATCAAATTTTTAGGGACCTTGTCACTCCCCTGTGTGGGCAGTGTGTACAGATGTAGATCCACATATGAATCATGCAGGTACTGTCGCTGCCTACAGATTCGTCTGTGAGCTTGGGGGCAACAGAGCCTTTTCTACTCCATGATTCTTCCTGCTGAACTAGTGCTGATGTTCTGACAAATACAACTAACGTGACCTGGATGCTCCCCTAGGAAAGGCTGATTATAAAAGCTGCAAATGTCTTCACTGACTGCAGGAATGGGAGGCAAAGAGTAAGACCTGCACCAAAAAGAACTACTCCCAGCTTTGGATCAGATCAAGCCTCCATCCTCAGGAGAATACACAAATACTCTAAAAATAAACCCAAGCAGTCCCCAAGACGGAATCCGTCCTCTGCAGAGCTGACCCTCCAGCCCTCCCCCCGCTCCCCACCCTGCTCTGGAGTGCCCACAGCACATCACACGAGAACCTGACAGCAGGACAGCAGAGGTGGGTGTACCCAGGACACAGTGCAAGCACGGGCCACAGGCTCAGTGAATGGCAGGAGGCCTGGTAGTGCTTCCGGGAAGAGGTGGTGGAGAGGATGTAAGCAAGCTGCAGGGAGCAACGTGAGAAACCGAGGCACGGCCAGATGGGAGAGGAGGAATATGCCCTGAGAAGTCAGCCAGGGTTAGAAGCACACATTTGTGCCAGACCCATGGCATCTTCAATATATTTCTATCTCAGAGAGGGGCAGGAAAGACATGCAGCTCCAGCAAGTGTTTGGCACTGGGCTGGACACTGTCACTCTAACTGCACCGACCCCCTGCTGGCTGTTTAATTCCCCCTAATCAGCCCTCAGAACCCAGTTCACAGCCTGCCCACTCTTAGCCTTTGCTCACACCTCTCCACAGAACCAGCTTTCCTCTCTGCTGCATTCGTACTGCACTTAATGCCAGGGCTGTTCCACTGTTTCCCTGATGGACTGCCAGCTGCACCGTGGCCAGGAGGGCACAGAGCACAGTGCCTGACACAGGCAGGGAATCTCTGCTGAGATGACAAAGGGATGGCAAGGATGCTGACAGAGTAACTAAAGAAACCACACCAAATTCTAGATTATGAGGGTGTGTGTGTGTATGTGCGCGCGTGTGTGTTGGTCACAGGAGCAGGGAGTAAGTATATAAATCCAGAGCACTGACCACACCTCACACATTGCACACACTCAACCACAAGATAACCTTCCTCTTTACATGTAGTCTTGGGTCTTTAGCTTTAAAAATAATTGAAACAGACCCAATGTGGAGAGGTCGCTACCATTTTAATATTAATCAATGACTCTTGTTATTCAAAAACTGTATTTAAGAAACTGAAATGCATTACATGAGAGTCATGACCATATTTAATACTTGATGTCATAGACTTAAGGCTCATAAGGAAACCAAGAACTAAATCATCACTTGGGTTTTTGTTTATTTTTAAAATGGGAGCTTGAGATAAAACTAAGGTATGCCTTTCTTTTGTCACAGTATCTTCTCTGTCCCAAAGTCAACCCTTTTTGCTACTTGTCAAAGATGTAAACTATTCATTGACCTGCCACAAAAAGCAGCTGTGCAGACCTGGACACGCAACACATCTGCACACAGTTACGTCTGAGGGGCTTCTTTCTGCTCCAGCGACCATCACTCTGTTCAGTCATAGCTGAAGTGGGGACCTCAGAACTGTGCGTCGTGGGATGTCAGTCACGACTAAAGATAAAATAACCCCTGGACAGCAGCTTCCCCACCAAGACCATCAACAGGGACAAGTGTTCCTTCAGTTATTCTTAACTTAGGATCCAGAGCACAAAAAACACCAGGCAGGGCCAGACTCTGCTATAATTCCAAAGAAAGCTGAGACACATACAGAGTATACAGAGAGGCTCCTCAATGCTCTCTTGCACAGGGGTGGCCCTGGCTCCCTGCCTGGAGCCCAGGAACAGGCCACTTTCACAGTGGTCTCCCCAGGCCTGCACAGCTGCAGACAGACACGCAGTGTGTGGACCGTCCCTGCTCGAGTCACTACGATCCCCTGTGTGCTCAACAGCTGGGCCAGCGGCAGGGAGAAGACCAATTCAGACAAGGCCCTTTGTTGTGGGGTATTTCTGCACCCCATTTCCCCAGAAAAAGGTTATTTTCCTCTAGCCATTCATTCTGGCTTCAAACTAACTCATTTTTCTGGATGTCCAAATCTTCTGAAAAGGTTAAGGATGGTGCCACCTCAGGGGCATCTTCAGCACATCTCACCAAGGAGAAAGAATGTGCTCTGACAGAGCACATTACAGTAACAGGGTGGGGAACACACTCCTGTCTCTGGCACAGGAAGGGTGGCACAGGACCTAGCCAGTGCTATACGTGCTCAATCTCACTTATTTTATATAAAACACTCTCTTTGGCTCCTTCAAAATGTAATAGATGCTGATTTAAAATTTATGAGACATGAAACCCACATTATGCTGGAGCTTTTCCCTTCTGGCCAGGCCTTCCTGCCCATAGAAATGTTAACACTGCC